AGGCAAAAGACTTAAACACTTCACAAAATAAGACATATAAATAGGCAGCAGGCACCAAAAAAGGTGTTCTACGTCACTCTTCATGAAGGAAATGCAAAATGAACCCGGTTATCAACCAGGACCAAACAAGTAACTGTCAAGCAGATGTAAATGGCAAAATCTCCATGTTGTTTAACTATACTACAACAGCCACATAATAAACCAAAATAAATGTCAGATCTCTTTCAAACATTAAAAAAATGAACGTTAATGGGTAATGGGAATGTTATGGTTATAGAGGGGTATACTTGCCTCTCTGTAGAACAAGTCTGAATTATTGTAGACATTGTAAGCCAAAAGATTAGTCTGTGTCCCCACTAAAAGGGCATCATAGCCAAGTTCAGGGTTCAGGACTCCTGCAGTCAGGCAGCTGACTGCCTGGTTAATATTGAGAAGCGAAACATCAGACTCCAGGGGGCTCTGGAAGACCCTGGATGCACTGAAATGCTGGCTCCGTGTATGGGGATTGTGAATAAACACCTAAAACAAAAACAGTTTATTACATTCCCTTCACACCAAAATATAAAATGAACATACACTTTTTTTTAAAAAGGCTCAGATATCAACATTAACAAGAAGTCACTTTAATAACCTACAAAACTTAAAACACCCACAACACAGTTCTGTGCATGGCTAGCTTCCAATCCCTATGAATTGTGGTTCTTGTAAAGAACAAAGAAATGGACAAGGGCTAGTTGTTGCTTTCCAGGGCAGCTTACGTGCCACCCACCAGCAAGACGTCAAAGCACTCTTAACAACCAGCCTTTTCCTCATCAACCTATAGGGAGCTGCTACCAGCTACAGTGATTGCTACACACCAAAAAAATCACAGAAAATAGAATAATAAACACTTCCTTTAGTAGCTTTCATCCAAGCACCTAATAAATTCACACTGCCTGTTAAAATAGTCTGGTAGTTAGTAAATCTGTTTTACAAACTTAAACTGAGTCATACAAATCAGGCTTCTTGAAAGCTTTCATAGTCTATACTAGTAAAACAGTTAAAAAATTGGTCCAATGTTAATTAATTTAGCAGTTCCAACTATCATAACTATAATCACCTGAGTGTCTGCACAAATCATTGAATTTCCTTGGGCTTCATCTGTAAAAAGGAGGATTGGACTAGAACATGCATTCTCAAAAGGGGCGCTATCACTCCCAAGAGGGGTACCTGGGTTTGGGGTGGGGGAATCTTAGACATTAAANAGTCGTCAGGCTGATATTTAAGGGTTTCACTGATGAAAAAAATCCCCCAAAACTTGAGGGTTTAAGTAGTACAGTAGTGGGGTTTGTGATTTAGAGAGAACTTGAGTCTGCATACATGCATACATGCACCAAGGGTTCAATACACCCTAAAAGGAATGTGAAAAGGCTTTTCCACAAATCTAGTGGTTTTTCTTGGCTAGGTGAGGTTATATAGAACTCTAATCTATACATCCCAACCCTGTAGTCTTAGTGGTCAAAACTAGAAGTTGACAAATCATCAGTTAATTTCTTGCACTTTTGTGATTATAAAACCATCAGACTAAAACCAGAAAATAACCATCTTAAACTTAAATACCTTTTTTTTTTTTTTTTTAAGATTTCAAGTTAGGGAAATAAAAGGTCATAGGAAACCTTAACCTTGCCTGGGGTGGGTAGAATCGTTAAATGGCTCATCTGGCCCCACAGAATCCTTGGCATAATGGAAAAATCTACGAGTCTTGCCCTCCTCTAAGCGCTGTCTGGAAATGACCTGTGACTCACAAAGGCTCACCTGCTTCTGTAACCCACGAAGGTTTTCAAGTGCAGATCTACAGGGACGTCTCTGGGAGGCGTGATGGGGATGCGGATGGAGCTGGAAAGGTGGTGAACGCTGGGGTGTACCACGTGGCTCTCACCTACAAAAATTCCCTCTGCAAAAATCAGTACCGCTCGGATGATGGTGTCTGCGGGGAAGAGACAAAACAGCAGTTCAAAAGCCACTCCCAGATGGCACAGGTGCCTACAAACGCCAGCTGTAAATCGTGTCTTACCATTCGAAGTAGAAATGCACAGTTCTGCGTGAGCCTGCTGAGTCTTGCTTCCCAGATTGACTGAGAGGGCAGTGCGGAGCTTCGTATTGGCTGGGATTACGCCCCGCTGCCCATCCGCCTCATTCGGTGGACTGCTCAAATCGGCCTGCAAAACAGCCCACCGGCTTCCAGCTCAGTCCATCACCACAATAGCGAACTAATGTCAATTTTAAATAATACGGTTATTCTGCTTCAATAGACGCACTGGTCATCACGCTTTGGAATTCACAGGACTGTCCTCATGAGTGCCCCCTTGCTCCACCTGGCCTGTTCCCAAGCTAAAGTACCCTTGTTCCTTCCTGGGTTTCGGCTCCACTGTACCCCAGCATGCCTTTTGCATCTTGTTATACTGTTCTTTTAAAATAAAGGAATAAAACTTACTTAGTATAGCAGATTCAAATACAGGAATGCATGACAGGACAAATTAAAGTCCTACTCCCCGGCTCATCTCGTGGCAGTTCGGTACGTACATGTGTACACATGTACACACGTACACACACACACACACCGCTTCTGTAGCTGCCACTTTTTATGTTGTTTTTGAAAAGATAAACGATAGTCCATACATTTTGTTCCTCCTTTTGTTCACTTCAATAATGCTACGGAGATCCTTCCACATCAGCCCAAGTATATGCACCTCATTCTTTTGAGCTGCTCAATATCCTCAGCATATACTTCCTACTGCTGGTCAGTTATTCAAGTTGCTTCCAACTATTCCCTGCTACACACGGCTGCAGTCGATGCCCCGGACTGCTCAGGCAAAGGTTTCTGTAGTTCAGCTGCCTGGAAGTGGAGTTTCTAAATGAGAGGCTCCAGGCCCTCTCAATTCTGACCCCGGCGAAAGGGCAGAAGCGATCTGCACCTCGGCCAGTGGGCGGGAGGCAGCCGGCACGGCGGCAGATGCGCCGTTCTTCCTTCTTTCCCATTTGCCAATCCTCCTGCTCTCTCCCAACTTTGCAGATTCCATTTCCCCTTCACGTGAGGACCTACCTTCCCACTTTCCTCATAGTTACGGAGTTCCAGCAGCAGATTCTGTTTTTTCTGACTCAGCTCTCGGAGCAAGTCCTGCTCTACGCTGGTGTCCATGAGGTTCCCTCTCATCTCAGCCATGCCTGGCAGGTAGCCCCGGACTGAACAGAAGGAAAAAGCACTCACCACACTACGGAAATGCCCAGGCATAGCCAGGTTACTTTTAAGTCATCGATTACCTGGTCGTATAAACCAAAAACCTAGGTTCTCATTTCCCCAACTTAGGTGAATTTACTGGGACAAGATGATATCGACACAAACACGTTATAGTGAATTTTCTCATATTCTGATCCAATCAAATTGAAAATCTGACTTCTCACGGATTTTTCCACCCCAATTTACTTTCTCCATCCACTGAGCAGCAGATTAACTGGACGTGGCCATCCATCCGGTAATCTCCCTCGACCACACCAGCAATTGCAGAGGAAAAGTTGTCTTTAAAGATGACCTCCCCAGTTCGGTCACTTCGAGCATCAACCTAAAAATAAAATAAGAACTTGAAAAATCGCTTATGCTACAGTTTTTTAACAAAAGAGAATTTTAAAGGTCATTTGGTTTTGCAGTTTTTTCAAGAGTATTTACTCCATGGAGCCCTGTGGCTTCTGAGGAGGCACCTATGACCACTGGGGCCTGAGGGGGCCAGAGGAGGCCTTCACCAGCTGTGTTTTCTTCTTCTTTTGAAATAAAAGTTGTCTTACATATTGGCCTTTACATAGTATTTCATTTGGAGAGATGGGTTAGCTGAGAGGCAGCACATATAATATAAATAGCAGAGTGCAAAAGCCCAAATTGCCCAGGTTCTAATTCCAGCTTTGCCGCTTACTATCTATGGCCCCTTGGGCAGGTTTCTTAACCATTCTGTGCTTGGTCTGCTCATCAGGGGGTCAAGGACAAGAACATGAGGACAATAACTTCACCTACACCTCTTAGGGATGGAATGAGGCCTAAAAGACTCATGTGAAGCTCTTAGAAAGGGCCAGGCACATAGAGGTATACAAGAAATGTTAGCTCTCCATAAAAATGTGATCTTTATTATGTATACATGTGTAAAATGTAGTTATATCTAAAGTTTGAGAGATGCCAAACTAGCCCAACCCTCCACCGTCTAGACAACCGTTTGTAATAACCCTGTTTCAGAGTCCTTCTTCCACATCAANACTCCTACCGGTAGCATCTGAGTTGCTATTCCACGTTGCTGACATTTTTAACCTTGTACCTATCTTAGCCACGGTAAATACTCACATGTCCCTCATCAGACGAGCATCCTCAGCTCGGACCAGCAAACTCCGGATCAGATTGGAATTATCAGCCATGTCTGCACTGAGTTTCTGATGCACTGAATGGTACTCATCCACCTGGAGACCATGAACACTCAGGCATTAAAACGGCCTCCCTAACTAGGCAGGGGGACAAGACACTGTCTACCATAACCAAGGCCCTTTTCTTCCCCGTTTACATGTACCATCTCAACTACCCGTTATTTCATGTCTTTGTCAATGAAGTAACTGGTCTGTGCTGCCTCTAACACTCAAGATGACATTCCATGTGCATCCTTTCCAAGTCTTAGTCTCGGTAGCCCTAGCAACACACCTATTAACATTTTAGGGATTTGGGGTGGGACTGCTGCTATAATTTGGGGCCAATCACGATTATTTTTCTTTTGAATTTGGGTTGTTGGAAAGGATTAAACCAAACAGCAAAGTAGATACATCAGATAAGATGAAGGGTTAGCAAAGGAAACTGCAACACACACACACACACACACACACACACACACACACACACACACACGTATGTGTGTGTGTGTGTATATATATATATATATATATATACATATTTTTAAGTATTCCCCTAAACCAAACAAAGAAGACAGCGTGGTCCAGAGCTAACCACTCACATTTGTAAAAGAAATCCTGTAGTGAACTCTCCAATACAAGTTCAATTTTGATTTTAAGAATTTGCAAAAATTATTTAAAACATGATTATCATATATACGTACAGTTCCTAAGAGAAACATTTCAAACATTGTTAGATCTACCACGTTCTCACAACTGCAGCCACCCAGGTGCCCTCACCTTAACTAACACCTTTCGTAATTCCTCAAAGTAGACGGGGAAATCCGCTTCTACCTGAAGGTCTTCAATAGCAAAAAATGATGCCATCGACTGGATGATATCACCAGCCAAATCAATATCATCAGTATTTACAGTGATCTATCCAAAGAAAAAAGGACAAGTTTAGCCTCCTCAGATATTCAAGACCAACTTAGCAGAAATAACCTGCATTTCCCCATAATCAACACATTTATTGAGCATAATTTCATATGTGGTGAATAAGACAGGCTTTAGCCCTCAAGGAAATTGCAAACCACATTTGTTGTTTCTAGCAGTAAACGAGAAGAGCAATCCTTTAGCCTTATAAACTAAACAACCAAATCATTCAAACAGGAAAATGTTTCTGTTCACCTCTGTATTCCTAACCCTTCCCAAATTAGACAAGGACAGGCTGAAGGGAGAGAGGGAGGCAGAAAACCACTGTTCTAGATTATACCCCAGTGTCTAAGATGATTAACACTAAGTTGAAAACGTGGTTTTACAACCTTGAGATTGGTGTCACCCACCTCACTTTGCACTAAATGGTAAACACTACGTGAGAAATCGATGCTCATGACAGTGAGCATTACCTCTCCACTCGGTTTTATCTTGATACACAGCTGGCCACCATTCCGTAAGGATGTGAAACACACTTGAAATGGAGCATTCTGAATGTTAGTTTCTTCTGGTAACAGAAAGTTCTGGTTGAGCCATATAACCACCTTAAAAATGAATAGGATGAAATGAACTTCCATTTTTAAAATACAGTCATTTTTTTAGAGTTATCCCTCTCTCTCGTTTCATTGCTTGGTAAACAAAGAATTATACTTTACCCCCACCAAGAAAACACTAACCACACTCCCTTTTCCCTCCTCGTACGTGTTCTTCAATAACATTCATAATTATGTCTGGCCCCACAGCCTGCACAATTTACTAGCATTTTCAACTTAGACATAATCTTAAATGCAATGTAGAAATGATTTTGGTATGATGCTAATTCTGTTTACATGATAGCTTTTCTGTGGCTATATCCTGGACAACGTAGTCTGCTTAAAGCTATTGCAGTCCATTCTTTAAAAACTTTTAAATGAACTATGTATGCACAGACCGAGATACATCTACACAATAAGTAAACAATAAGCTTTAATATTAATGATAGTATTTACAATGGTTTGTAACACAGGTCCCATATCAGAACCACCTGAGGCCTGTTGGAAGGTTCCGCCTATAGAGTGTCTGAGAATCTGCATGATTAAAAAGCCGCACTGAGAATTCCAAAGTCCCGCCATGGTTTAAAGTCCACTGGTGTCCTTTAAATGTTCAAGGTGCTGTCACACCAATTATATAATCACCAGG